ATAGGTCTACGTTGAACATTTTGAACTTTCGGAAAAAAGATAACTCCTGAAAAAAGAGTGTTGCCGTTCGACTCAGCTCGTCTAGACGAATTGGTATGGGTCTTATATCAAACTTTCCACTGGTATAATATACTATATCCTTTGATATTTTAAGATTTTTAAATTTTTTTCAAAAATTGATATCTGCAAAAGTCGGGTAGCACAAAACTGTTTACCTTTTGGATCTGTAGGGATATTGAGGGATTATGGATCCTCTGATATCCATATTTAGTGGGCTTAAATCTTTCTTTAAATATATTTTATTTTATATAACATTTGATTAAGTTGTTTGATTTGTTAAAGATATAAAACGATTGCTCGTTGGTCACCGTTTGTATTTTTTGGATGCTAAGCAAGACTTAAGCAAATATTTATTTCTCTTAAAATACTTAACATTTCAAATTGGTTCTCGATAACCAAGAATTCTATGAATTAATTAACTGATCACTGATTATATTTATTTCAAAAATAAAATAAATTGTATAGTGCGGTTGTATTGTTAATCATATTTTTATTTTAATTTTTAAGTTAGAGTGGCGCAAATGGCGATGTTTTTGATAGTTCGATGAGGATTATTTTTAAAAATGCTGATTTTTGTGGTATTTTGAGATTATGAGGATTTTTTATATTATAGTGTTTTTTACATAGAATAAATTGTCATTTTCACTCATCTAGCCTTCCAAAATTTTCGCGTGCGGCGGTGAAAACTGAAGAAATATTATGCAATTCAACAAATGTAAAAACTGAAAGCATTGCTCAAAAAATTTTTGTTTGATAATTTTTTTGCGGATTTTAGATAAAAATTGCGAATTATTAAAAATCGAGTTAGGAGCCCTTCCTTATACTCTATTACATTTTTTCGTTTTTAAATTAAAATATTTTTGGGATTAACAGTCCTCGGGTACGTTGCGTTGTGATTATTTTTGGATGTCGCTTTATATGCTGACAAAAAAATAATGAGTTAACAATTCTTCGGTTCCTATATCCAAAATTTTGGTTAGTATCAGGGGCGGGCGCAAGAGACAATTTCCAAAAACGCAACGCAAGGCCAAAAATCAACGCAAAACGCAAGAGCGCAAAAATGGAAAAATTTTTTTTATCAAGTATGTATTAGCCATTTTCCAATTAAAAATTAAAGTATCACTAACACATAAGTGTCAGCAGTCCTATTTTTTTGTGATATATAAGTGTATGGATGAATGATGATTTGAGACTAATTAAAATTTTATTCTTTAATTTGAAATTGCATAAATAAAGGGCTGTCATAATAAGGAATTCATTTATTGTTTGAAATTTGTTTAAAGATTTGAGAATTTTAAAAATATTGCGTCTTCTTCATAGAATTTTTTTTTCAAAATAAATTCAAAATTAACTTAGCCACTATATCCTTAAATTTTATTGCCAAGTTCTTATTGGCATCCAAAAATAAATCAGAGTGGCGTACATACAAGGCGTTCAATAAAGTACCAAAACAGTTTTACTTTTATAAAAAATAAAATTTACAAACTGATATGTATTAATAACACACCTAACCCTTGTTTTAAAATTGTAATTTATTTTGTACTTTGTTCAGATACCACCCAAAGCCCGTCTGGGCGTCTACATCCATCCCTCCTTTCTAAAAGTTGTCCACAACTTTATTAAAAGGGCTTCTTTTTGTTGTTTTACCAATTTTTGTTGTTGGCGTTTTTATTTGTGGCATTTTGTCGTTTCGGGATTTTTTCATAATTTTCAAATTATACTATTTAAGCCGGGAAAAAATAGAATCTTATTCATTTTTCCAATTTATTTATTTTCGAGTTTTTTTTCTTCCTCCCTTTTCTTAAACGTATTTTCTTTTTTATTTTTTTATTTCAAAAAAAATTTCCTTTTTTATTTTTTTATTTCTAAAAATTTTCTTTTTTAAAATTCCCTTTATATTTTGTATGTTCTATTGTAGGCTGTGTGGGTGAAATCGTGGTTAATTTTCTCTCTTTTTCCTTACTATCTCATCCTCTTCCTCATTACCTAATATTATTTCTAAAAATAAAGGTATTCTCAAACCGGAATCTTTATCAATAAAATCTCTAAGTTTTGGAATCGAGATGAATACGTCATTTTCCATGTAAAATGTGTTATCTTTAAAACATAATTGTTTATCGTCTGTTACATTGCCTGTGGCTCGTGACGAAGCCTAGGACCTCCAATTGTAAAGGGTAGCACGGGGGACTTGGGGATGAAACTAAGAAAACATCAACTTCCAATTAAAATGTTTATTTCCAAAAATAAAATATAAATGTGAAGCAAAAGGGGGCAGAGGGGTTCAAGTCAGCTAAGCTAGGAAAAGACAAAGTAAAGTGAAGGGGGAAGGAACGGGAATGGCACACTAACAACAAAAGCCCTAAAATATTTATATCTCGGGAAAAATGGGTGGAGTTTATCTTTACAATCTTCTTTATCTCTACAAACTGGAATAAATCTGTCTTCTGGCCTTACTAAATTCTTTTTTTCGCTGCGTCGAAGAAAAAGTGAATTGCTTCGGCTAAAAAGAATTATATGCAAAAGCAATTTTTAACCTTATACCTTTAACCTTATATGTTTATTTAAACCTCGTATTTTGTCAATGTACCAATTGACATCCAAAAAAATCCGTGTTGCTCAGCTTATCAATTGTACGGTTCAGTTTATCAATTGTATATTTTGAGCATTTTAATCTAAATTAAATATAATAAATTACCTGGCTTTTATATTAAACCATTTAAGGGCTTACGCCCCCCATCCTCATTGAAAAACACCTCTCTTCTTGAAGAAAGTTTAAGCAAAAGTTTAGTCACCGTGGTGGACTGAATTTGCTCAACGACTATTCAGACCAAATTAGGGCTTCGTGGGTAATTATTTGTACACCTCTCGGCAAGGTGTACCAAGAATTACAACAAGGCCGAGTTTTTGAACTCGCTGTTAATAAAAAATTGAAGTTTAAACACAGTTGAAACTTATGTTTAGTTACCCATTGGGGGAATCTAAATTAAGCTTTGAACGATCTCATTTGCCTAATGCTATAGCATGGCATCCAAAAAATATAAGTAAATATTCTCACGGTCGCTACAGCATATTTGTGTTATTTGTTTAAACTTAAGTAAAGTAAAGAATAAACACGTTGATTTGGAGCAAAATGTATGAGGATTTTGCTCTTATAATATTATTGTTGGTCACAGCGTGTCCGGACAATGCGTCAGTGGACAATCGGTCAGTATTGATATAAAGTGATTGAAAGTGATAATGTAAAGAGATAAAAAAATGATAAAAAAGACAAAAGATGGGATATAAACTGATTAGTAGTAATTAAAAAGAGATTTTGGGGTTCAAAAAGATATAGAGGGATTTGTTAGGATTAAGGTTGATATCTCGGGGTTGGGAGGATTAACAGAGATATTAGTTATTTGTTTGAATATGATGGAGATCAGCCGATTTGGAGGGATATCAGTGAATTTTTATCCCTTTATATTATCGCTTTTAATCATTTTATATCAATACTGACGCATAATTCACTGACGCATTGTCCGGGAACCGGTCACAGCATTCTAAGTCTAATATTTTGGAAATAAACCTTGGGCAAAATATTGTTTTACAATTTGTCCTTAACTATAAAAACAGCAAATATCCGGCCATTTTGAAATAGCGTTTCATCAGACAAACATGTGATTGTAGTATTTACTTTTAATTTCGAAATTGCACTTTTATGTCTTTATTTATTGAATTAATTAGTCGGCTTTTTCTTATTTTTAAATAATATTTATTCAATTTTATAGCTAAAAATTAAATTTCATACCATTTTTTTATTATTACTCCTCTAAAATATTTAAACTTAAATTTTTCCATATTTTAGCGTTCCGTCCATATTACAACAATTTACAGAAATAAAGGCCAAATATCTAATTTTTTTACCTTCAAAAATTTGTTGAAAATTTTCCTCAAGTAAATTAGTATGAGTTAGGGGATGAATAGCTCATGATTTACGACAACTTTTATCGTAAATCAGGAGTTTATCTAATTTTCTAAGCCTTTTGTTCATCATAGAAGTTAATTATAACCAATCATGATTTTTTATTTACAGCTTATTTCTATTTTCAGATGCATTTTAATTTTATTTCTCTTTTCTTGCTAATTTTCCTCGCAATGGTTGAGTCAATACCTGACCACTATAAAACTTTAGGAATTCAAAAGAATGCATCAACAAAAGAGATTAGAACAGCATACAAAAAATTAATGTTAAAATATCATCCGGACAAAACTAAAAATGACCCGATTGCTTTAAGATTTTCACAAGAAATAAATAATGCTCGTGACATTCTTACTGATGAGAAAGAACGAAGAAATTATGACAAAAAATTGCACGAATCCTCTGGATCATCTTTTACAACGCCAGAAGGGGCTTTTACATCTGGAAGATCATCTGCAATGCCTGGAGAAGCATCTTCATCGTATGGAGGAGCATCTACTACGCACGGAGGAACATCATCGTATCAAGGAGCATATAGATCGTCAAGTGAAACTTCATCAGATTCATCATACGAATCACAAGGTTATAAATTTTGTTATTTCAACAAGAAACATTCTCAAAAAACGCAAGTGCGCAAAATTAATCAAGTATTCGTTTTTTGTGACCAGGGGTGAACGCAATGCGCTCAACCCTGGTCCCAAATCTTATTATAAAAAGGCTCCCGCTTCATTTGTCAACTAATTATGCTTAACGGTTCAAAAGAGCTTAAACAATTAGGCATATATTTGTTATTAGCAGAGTTATTTTATTATAAGTTAGAGATAGTAAAGATTATCAAATACCTTATTTTTAAATTTAATTCCGAGATTAGAAAATTAATAATGTAAGGAGGAGAAAGAAAAAGAAAGATCCAGCTGGCTAGCATTTAAAACGCTCACTAGGCGGGGGTTTAAGATCTATTAAAAGAGAAGGTGAAAGCAGCGTCCCGGGAGCTCAGTTGGTAGAGCACCTGTACTTGGTGATCGAAAACGACTAGCCAATAACTGTCAGGATGTTGCAGGATCGAAGCCTGCCCGGGATTAAACTTTTACCTCGCTCTTATTATAATTATAAAAAAAATTTAAGAAGGAACGTCTTCTAATGGGAGATCATGGCCTTTTACTTTTGGATCTTGGCTCTTATCTAAATTTTGGAGAAAGGAAGGAAGATCAACAGGAAATTCAACATCAAATCCGGCTAAAAACGATTTTAAAATTTTTGTTTTCTCTGACAAAATTCTTGTCCAAATCAATGATGAAGTTAAACAAGCTGACAATTTAAAAATAAATGGAAATATAAATAAATTATTGATGTTTGGTGATTATATTAAGCATTACACTTTTGATCGAGTTGAAATTATAAAAGCAAAATCAGTTGAAATCCACGTAAATGGCGCCTATGTTTACGTTGATCAAAAAAAGATTTCATATTATACATTTCCTGAAGAATTTAAAAAATTAAAACCGACAGGATATATTACAGATATAAACGGTGGAATTAATAAAATTATTGTAAGATATTAAGATTAAATTATAGAATATTAAGATAATGTTCTTATACATATATATTTATTCAAAAAACATGAAAATGCATGTTTTGTATGATGATATGCCTTGGTTAAAAATAACACTATTTTTGTAAAATATGCCGAAATATGGAATTTTATTTTGTATATTTTTAGATGCACGTTGAAGATGTTGAAGATGTTTCTGGAAACAATAAAATTCAAATTACTGGTCCAGATAACAAAATAGAAATTTTTGGTAAATAAAGTAAGATCAAAGAATTTTTAAATTTAAAAAAGATAAGATATAATTTTTTTAAATATACGATAAATTATTTGTAAAGTAAATTTGAAATTAGAATAAAGATAATTTTAAGAAATATTTTAAAAATAAGTTTTTTTAAATCTCGTTTAATTGCCTAATTTTATGCAAAAACAGGAAGAAACTTTTCGACCAAAAAATGCCCTGCTGTAAAACAATTGCCAGCTTAAAGCTGACATACAAAAATATAAAGGACATCTCAAAGCAGAGTGGCAACTTTCCTCAACTTTTGGTTTTTATTAAAATCAAAATAACAAAATAGCTTAGATTATACAGGGTGACAAAAAATAAACAGGACACATCATTTATGCCATACTTTGCTTCGATACAGGGTCGGAGACACTTGCTAAGATTTTGGGGGAAAATCAAGTGACACTTTTTTAGCAAGGAAAATATTACTTAAGGGAACACCTGGATTCGATAATGAATATATATTTGTATGTCGTTGAATAGAATATCAAAAATCGAAAATTTATACAAATAATAGCTCATCGAAAGAGCTCGTCGAATGAGTCGAATGACACCAAAATTAATGTGATTGGACATGATTTGACAAAGTTATGACATTAAGTAGACCTACAAAAGTCGGCGACTTATGTCATAACTTCGTCAAATCTTGTACGATTAGTTTGATTTTGGTGTCATTGGACACAGCTCGATGTGTTTTACATTTTATATCCTGACTGACCATTTATACATATTTTCAAAAAAATTTACTGGGGGAGGGAAACTAAATAAGTATCCAAAAATTTAGAGGCAAAAAACGCTACAAAAGGAAAGATTTAAATTTTTAACTTCTTTATATTTATGTATTTGATTTAAATTTACGGAGAAAAAAACATAGTAAATAAGCTTGATAATATGACTGATATGTAATCCATTATTTAACAAAAATTCTAAATAAATTTCCTGATCTCGGGTCTCGATCCGCGAATTTTCCAGGTTTTAGGGTTTATTTCTCGAGTAGCACTACTATTCCCTAAATTAATTTTAAAACTGGATCCAGGTTAGTCCCGATTTAGAACGAGACTAACCTAAATCTAGATCTTGTATTTTTGAAAATACCAATTTAGATTATCCGTCACATGAATTTTTCAGGTTTTTCCGTTAAACAATTCTCTTATCTCAAATTTTCGCCTGCGGCATTAGTCAGCGCCTTCGGTGGTGAAATCCTATATTTTTTTAATTTTGATTGTATTTCGTATAAATTAATTTTCATCTCTTACACCGACAAAAATATGTTTTATTTAAAACTAGAATTTATATAAATAAAAAAATGTTAATTTGCAGCGTTATCAGTTGTCGAGGATCTGGAGTATTTTTGTAAGTTGGCTTTAGCCCCAACTATGATACAGGGTGACAAGAAATTAATAGAACACCTTCCATCATTCAGTTTTTCGCGTTAATTTCGGCTAAATTTACGCAAAACGCAATGTAAGGCCAAATTAAACGCAATTAACGCCAATACGCCTGCCATGTTCCTATTGCCAGAACAAATAAGGTGTTTCGTATAATTTATTTGATTTTACTATATTTAAAAGTTTTTCCAATTGCTTAGCTGTTACGTTTAACTTTGAACTCGAATCGTGTATTTTTGGATGTTTGTATCCTTCACAAACAAATAACTGTCAAAGATCACAAATTATTTCCTAAATTTTATCCATAAAAATTTTACAAATATACAAATCGCACAAATTGAAAATCTTGTAGATGAGTTTAAAATCTTAGAGTCGTCGGATATCATATGTATGTTTGGGGAGAGGAAGTGGCGGAGGGGCTAAAAATTACATAATATTAATTTTTGTATAAACTTGAGATTAATAAATACTAAAAGATTAGTTGAATTTGTATGTATTCATTTGTGCGGATTGTAATTTTTTGGAAGCTGACCATGCCGGCTAATTATTTATACTCATTTACTTAACTGTATTATTACGAAAATCCAAATTTAAAACATGTAAAACAAAAATTCTAGCGTAGCTTTTATTAGTTATGAATGTGCCCAGTAGGATTGTCGTATAGTTGGAAATCTTCGGATATCCGGTATCCGAACCGAAAATTTCCGAATATCCGACCTTTTTCGGATCCGGACATCCGGATCCGACAACCTTAGTGCCCAGAGATTAGACAAATAGATGAAAACCGATTTCGATCACCGTTTAAGAAATCTCGAATTAGTTCTCGGAAAAAGATAGCGAAATTTAAGATAGATTGCAAGATTTTAATTTTTAAATAAAAGGGAGTGTTAGTAGGAAGATATTCTTACTATTTTTACGAAAAGAACATGATGATTCTTTATTTTTGGAACCCGACTGTGTCAGTTAATTAGCTACATTCATTGAATTCATTGTATTATGCGATTTAAATATTTTTATTTATTTTTAATACATTTTCGAAAGAAAAAAACAATAAATATAAATTATGGTTCTATTGCATAGGGTTTGCCCCGAATCCTGAGGGCACGTTTTTTGGGGAGCGTTGGAGGATGACTGACAGAATAACACTCACAATTTATTGTCAGTCATCCTTTAACGCTCCCCGAAAAAGTGCCCACAGGATTCGGGGTCAAACCCTACAATTGCATTATCTCCCCGCAATGTCCGCAAAATTTCCTTTCCGTATAACATAAGGCTCTTCACATGTCTTTCTTAATTAATTTCACTCTGTCTCCCTATGGCTTATTCAATGCAGATTATGAAAAAAACCTTAATAAATGCTCGACTGGAAATTGATGATTTACGGGGATGGATGTCTCCGTAGTTGAAACTATTGTACCCAAATAGTAGATTCAGCTCATAAAGTCTCTCAAAAAAACTTTTTAAATTGATTCTTAAATTTAGTTGGGTCAAGCCAACTTACAAAAATATAAATAAAATTAAAAAAAAACACAGTTTTCTATTCGAGGATTATTATTTTTGTAAGCTATAATTTGAAATAAAATATATTTTTTAAATGTGTCTAGTATGAATATTTCATCAAATTAAAGAATTTTGATAATTTACTCACCCACAATCATTCCTAATGAATTAGAATTATTTTAAGGAAATTCAATGTCTCTCTATGTATTTCTAGTTCTATAGTGATCAAAAATATTTTTTATAGTAAGCTTGATAGTACCGAAAAGTACCGATCCGGTCATAAATTCTTGATAAAAATTTTACTTAGATTAAGATAAATTTCCCAATAGATACGACAAAAATGGAAATCTATTTCGCTCAGCTTCTGTGAAACCTCGAATTAAATCTAAAAAATACGTCAAAATATACGAAAATGCAAGTTAAAAATTTTTTGAAATAAAAATGAATATTAGTGTAAATATGTATTATTCAATAATCGAGGAGATTGCCATACCGTTGAATTTTTTGGAAGCCAGCAATGCTGGCTAAAGATATAAAAGATATCAATAGGATATATAGAGATGTCGGACCGTGCCGTACTCCCGTACAGTAGTAGGATTTCTGGTACCATGTTAATATACTATACCCCTACCCTTATTAGTCTCAGATTAATTTTCCTTTCTTCTGTCAATTATTTACCTCCCTCAAACTTAATAAATAAAAGGCAAGTACATAAGTTATTAGGAAGAAAAAATAAACGGCATGGCAAAAATGAAGGCAAATAAGGAGGAAATTTGTCCATTAGGGGTCTTGCGCCAGAAAATAACATTCAAAAAGAGGAGAAACTTTTCTCTGGCTTTTCTCTTTTAGCTTGCCATATCATTTCCGTTTAAAGACCGCGCGATTTTTATGTGAACAAACAGAAGATTGCATAATATTAATTTTTGCAATAAAACTGTTATTAGAAAAAATCTATATGCATAAGAATTTGTTTTTTTTGTTGTGACATTATTATTTTTGAAAGCTGACAAAGTTGGCTAATTTGGTATAGTATGTATCAGGGATTCACTCGTCTAGTGTCTCATATCTTGTGAAACCTCGTGTTTCTTAGAGGTCTCGTATCTCGTATTTTGACACAAGATACGAGATATTTTCAATCTATTTTAGAAAAAATGTTAACAATCTGGGACTATTTTAAAATCCTGAATAGGGTTTCACCGGAACCGAAATTATGACCGGAACCGGAACCGGATCCAATTTGAGTTCCGGAACCGGAACCGGAACTTTTCAAAGTTCCGGCCCGGAACCGGAACCGGAACTTTAAAAAATTTCTAGCGAATTTAAAAAATTTAAAAAAAATTAAAAGAAATTTGAATTCAAAGTAGGTTTGTCGGTTTAGCCCAATTATTTTGTTAACCTAAATGACAAACCGAATCGAAACTTTCGGTTAACCAAAATCGAACCGTAAAACCGAACCGTTCAGGGATGTGCGCCAGAATTTTCGCGTGGCGCGCCAAACGCCAAACGCCAATTTTTCAAATTTTCAAATCACGCCAAACGCCAAAACGCCAAAAATTTTATTCAACTAAGGCCCGAAAAACAAGTGTTTATCTCTTTTTAGCGCCGCAGGCGAAAATTTTTAAATCTTCACGACTTCCAGAAGTCAAAATTCATCCTTTTTTTAGCGCCTACACCCAAAATTATGGAAATTTGTTAAGAACAAGAGCAGAAATCCTACTTTTTGTAAAAAAATTGCAAGAAAAATGGAAAAATCACAACCCCAGAATTGTAGAATATCGAAGGGTTTAGATGTCCAGATATCCTCTTTAACCTCCCAAGTAAGGGAATTAGAATTGATTAAGGAAGCAGTAGTGGACTTTAGTAGATTAATAGGATTTGATGGATATTGGTGGATTGAAGAACAGTGCATTAAGATCCTTCTATTAGTGCCACAGTCGAAAATTTCGTGATTTTTTGAACGCTAATAAGTAGATTTCTTCCTTTTTTGTGCGCAGCAGGCGCAAATTTTGAAAATTTTGGAAGGCTGTGGGCAAAAAAATTTCATTTTTTTTGAAAACACTCCCCATTTATTTGAAAAATTCCCATCTTTAGGGGTGTATAATTTTGGCGTTTTGGCGCGCCAAAAACTGAAAATCACGCCAAACGCCAGCACGCCAAAATCGGCCAAAAATCACGCCAAAACGCCAAAACGTCACGCCAAAACGCCATGACGCACATCCCTAGAACCGTTCTACCCAAATCCCATGATATGCCCGATACACACCAATTATATGATTCCCCTTTGATCCCCAAATTTCTTCGAATTATCATTCATCCCAACAGATCCCTAGATATCAAATCACCGATATACCATTTTAACTCTTGGTACACGAAATCACCCAGTATCTTCCAAATCCCCATTAATCCATGCAAATTATCAAAAATAACCTATTCTTCCTTCCTTTTAGCGCCGCAGGCGAAAATTTTGTGAATTTCGGAAGGCCAAGTGAGAAATGCCAAGTTTTGGAAGGCAAAATCCCAGCTATCCTATCCCTGTTATTTACCTTGCACAGCTTAATCCCTCAATATTTCACCCAGATCCCCCGGTATTACCTATGACCCCTTGAAAGCACATGCTGTAACTTAAAATACACCTTCATCCATACAGATCCTCCGATATAAACTTCATTTAACAGCGCCGCAGGCGAAAATTTTGAGAATATTGTAACGCCAGCCGGGGAAGACCAACCCATATTTTTAAAAAAATCAATCTTTAGGGGTGTAAAAAAGTTCCGGTTTGCCCGGAACCGATTTGAAAACCGGAGCCGGAACCGGAACCGGAACCAATTTAAGTTCCGGTTCCCGGAACCGGAACCGGAACCAATTTAAGTTCCGGTTCCCGGAACCGGAACCGGAACTTCCGGTGAAACCCTAATCCTGAATTAAGGAAAAAGGAAAAAATTCTGCCCATTGGTCTTCCAAAATTCTCAAAATTTTTGCCCGCGGCGCTGAAAAGTGAAGAAAAGCTTCCAGTTCCATTCAGTTAATCATATAAATTTCAAACATAAAATTCTACATGAAAAATTAATTTGAAATTCATTAAAGTGAAGTAGCGTTATTTTAAAATTAGCTGTTCAAACTAGTTAATTTTATAACTTTGAAACCTTACTAATTTAGAGGTTGAAATTTGATGTTGTAAATTAACAAGGACGAATTTTCATATAAAATTAGAAATAAAAGAGAAAGCCCATTTTAATCGCCTTTAATAAATTTTATATTACCGAAAAATTTCTAATAGAATGACCGGCTCTATTATTCAATCATCCTCCATAGGGCTATTCTAATGGAAAGTGCATTCAACTAGAGGGTAAAATTCCACATTTTAATCATCATCCAAAGGGCCATTCTATTAGAGATTCTACGGTATTTTACACAATAACATTTATTTCTATATTAGTTTAATATAAGCATATTTCATTATTTTGAATTTACCAGTTTTTTAAATAAGGATTCTATATTTTTGAATGCCATTATTAAGTTGGCAAATAAACAATAACAGATTTTGATTTTGTAATTGCATAATGAAATAGAGTGTTAAAATTTTTTTCAATCCCTTCACTGCATTATTCAGTCGGTATCTCTTGAATTTGGCTCCTTCCATAATGGTTTCATTTCTCATCTAACTAATTTTCCACTGAATAATTTTAGATGTGTTGGATTCCTCTCTTCCTAAATGGATTCTTGAAGATGGAACCTCAAATTTGTAGAGAAATAGCAAAAATAGAGCGAAAAGTAAAAATTCTTGTATAAATTAATAATCAATTCAAATATCATATATTTAATATTTATGCTATATAAATTCAAAAGCGTAGGTTTGACAATTTTTGAATACTGACACGTATAACAAAATTTTTCCATACCCAGGTCTAATAAAAATGCTAGGATATAGCTATTTCTCTCCTTCAACTAGTGCGAAAGGTTAATCGGCATCTTTAAAAACCAGCATCATCATTAAAGCGAACTAATGCGTTGCGCAATAACAACGTGTTATTAATTTTGCACATTATTAATTTTTTAAATCAGCTTTAATTTTAAAATAAGCTATAATCTGTTGACTTAGTGCCATAAATTGTGATGAGAGTAATTTTTTGGAAGCTGGCCTCGCCGGTTAGTATTATTTCTCGTGCTTTTTACTTTGCCAGAAAAAAAGCCAAAGTCGTTTATATTTATTTGCTTATTTAATATATACCTTAATAAGAAAACAATAATTTTGGGGTTCGATCGGTTGAGTAGATTACATACTATGAAAATTTACTACTATGATAATAGTAGTTAGTCAGGCGTCCGTGTCGCGGCTATGATTGATGACCTGTCACCAAAATCAAAAAGTCATTTCATTCCCAACCCTTCCCCAAAACCAAAAGGCTTTTCCTCACCCCGCCCACCCCACCAACCAAAAGCTTTTGAAGCTTTTTCCTTCATAATATGTAAATTTTTCTTTTGTTTTTTCCCTCCCATAACCAAATCCTTTTGAGGATTTTCTTTGCCTCTTCTTTTACTTCCCGCCCCTTCAATCAAAAATTCCCAAAATAATATGTAAATTTTTTTCTCTCTTTTTCCCTCCTCCCAAAATTATGCAAATTCTTTTGCTACCCACAAAATTTAAAGCTTTGCTTTTCCTTTATAAAAGGAAAAGTGAGTGTAAATGAATTGATTTAAAGGGTAAAAATAAATAAAAAGAAAAATTATGTGTGTGTAGAATGGAAATAAAAGAAAGAAATAAATGGAAATTAAAAATGGAAATAAATAAATTAAAAGAAAATAAATATACTTAAGTAAAATAATAATAGTAAAATACTAATGTAAGTATTAAAATAAATTATTAAAATAAATAAAATCTAAAATTAAAGTTTTCCATGTAAACAACCGCCATCGTCTCATCGTTACAACCTTTAACCCTAATTTGAAGCTATTGAAGATTTTTTTCTCTTTTTTGTTTTTCCTTCCGATAACTAAAGCCTTTTGCGGCTTTCTCTTTTTTCTTTTCCTTCTGCGTCGGCAATGCTTATCGAGGATTTTCCCATATATGTAAATTCTCTGCGGGGTCTTTTCTTTTTCTTTATATTTCTACGAAGAATAAATCTTCTTTGTTTTTAATCTTTTTTATTTTCCATGCAAATTTTATCCTTTTCTTTATTTATAGGTTAAAGAAAATTTCTTTCTCATTGCCTATTCTACTTCACTCAAAAAAAGTGTAGTATTTTTTTAATAAAAAATTTCTTTCATGATTTTTATTTATAATATATTTTTAATAATTTTATTTTTAATAATTTAATCTAATTTTAACTATTTATTTTAAATATATACTAGTCATAGGGGAAAAATCGGGTCTGGTTTTAATTTCTAGTCTTATAGTTGTTTTTTAATAATCTGTCTTCTCCCTATTTTTATATTGTCACAATTTAAAATATTTTTCTTCCTAGTCTTATTAATTATTTATTTTAATTTTTAATTAACTGCTAATTTTATTTATTTGGAGGGATATGGGGGCGGTGGGATTTTTGGAGGGTGTAAAGGAGGGATTGAAAGATTCCTTTTAATAATCTCTAGGGTAGGGTTTCGGGTCGAAAATTATCGAGTAGAGCAAATTTGAGAGACAAATTTGGACTTTTAAAAATTTTTTCTAATTTTACATTCACTAAATCATCAAATTCAGTAGTTAGTAGTTCAGTAGTTAGCCAAAAGGCCGTCGCATTTTAGTGTAGTTAACTATACTTTTATGTACACCTCACTATAGCGTACACCTCATCATATTCTTTATGTTTTACATTGGGGAGATATCTATAGTATACCATTTTGGGGAGTTGTACATTTAGCATACCTACACATTCTTCCTCCCTATTCTAATGTACATACATCTAACTCCTCTCTAATTTATTACTGTTATGACCTTTGACCGAAGTGTATTTTGTTAAAATGCTTTTGTATCATTTGTCTATTTGATTCCTCGTTTATCTGGGGGGTATAAAAAGGGGCGATTTATTGAAAAATCTATCATTATTTAAAATGTCCGATATTAAGTTTCCAAAAATATTACCTGAAGTTGAGTTTAATATCTCAACTACAGGGATTACTATTTCCAGTGTACGCTATACAACTCCACGCTTTCTTCCTTACGACCAAGGAGGGAAGTGTCGAAAATGTAAGAGCACAGAAGTTGAATTGGATTTTATTATAGTAAAGGAAGGTGTTGTAGTCTACTGCACCCGGTTTGAGGGAAGCAGATTTGTCCCCTTCGATTCATTATACGATTTACCGCGTCATTGCTTCTTCAAAGTAAAAAACAAAGGCCGAGTCTTTAATGTACCGTACAATGATACTACTCAGATTCATTGTCCAAAAACTGAACCAATTGAACCACAAATTCTCCCCACAATACCCGAAGAAGTGACACAGACACCTCAATCATTGGATAACCTTCCATCAAAAGAGGAGTTGGACGATTTCTTTCAGAGTTTAGATGCAGCTGTTACAGGCATACCAACAAATTAAAATGATATTTAAGTAAAATTTTTATATATTTATAAATATTCATTATGAATTCCTTAACTTTCTTGAATAAAGATTTAAAATTTAAATTACCTTTTGGTATGATTTTATCTGGTCCTAGTTCAAGTGGAAAGAGTACTTTGTTGTTGAAACTTATTGCAGAATCAGAGCATTTAATTCTCCCTAAACCAAAATCTATACTTTATTGTTTTGGTGAAATGAACAATATTGTACCTCTTTTGCAAAAATCTGGAGTTGATGTATTTTCAGGAGTTCCACCTGAAGACCTAATTAAAAAATACACCAAGCCTCTATTACTAATTCTCGATGATTTGAATCTTTCTATTGATGAAAAATATCTATCTGAATTGTTTACCAAAAAATCTCATCATCAAAATTTTTCTATAATTTTTGTTACACAAAATCTATTCGATAAGAAAATTAAAGTAGCACGACAAAATTCTCAGTACCTTATGTTAATGAGGTCACCAAATTCTATGCTATCCATAAGAAACATAGGTGTGCAACTATTTCCCAAACAATTGGATTATTTTCTTGACTCCTATCGACAGGCAACCAAGCAACCTTATGGTTACTTGCTTGTTGATATGCATGCTTCTTCAGATCCTACATTACGTCTTAGGACCAACATATTTAAGGAAGACGATGAAAAGATAATTTTCTTTCCAAAAAATGGTTAATCAGTTTATCACTGAAAACTTAAAATTTTTCAATTATTGTCAAAGACAAAATCTAGGAGAAAAAGGAAAAGACTCCTAAAATTATCAAATAGTGAACAACTGTTAGCACTAGCTGAGATTTGCTTAAACATTGTAAAAGAGAGATTCAAACTTACAACTCGGCAAAAGAAAAGATTATTACCTCATGCAGAATTTGTAAGAAGTTTGAGTAGGGTTAGGAGTGAAAGAGGAGCCAGACATGTTATTAATCAAAAAGGCGACGGAGTAGGAGTTTTTGCAGCACTTTTGACACCAGTACTCATAGAAATGGCTAGGATGCTGACTATAAAAGCCCCAGGCACATCCTAATCTAAAATTAAGTATGGCAAATAAATTTATTCTAGTTCCTGAAGAAATTTACAAGGGTTTGACAACCCATGATACAGGGGAACCAAACTTGGATTTTATTCGGCATGATCTAGAAAAAACAAAATTGAAAAGGGAGACACCTAGTGCAAAAAATGTTCACTATAATCAGGAGCTTAGACGATATTTGCAATTAAGAAACGAGCAGCAAAATAGACCAGTTAAGGTGGAGATGGTTGCTAGTCCAAAGGGTGCAATTATGAATACTACAGCCTCACTTCCAGCTTCAAATATTGGGGAAGACGACGATAATATATGGATGAGTGATGATATGTCCTTTAGTTCGTATCCTAAAGAGACACCATCTTATAACATTATACCACCTATCATACCAGACATTAAACCTACAATTACATTAAAACCGAAAAAATCTACTAACTATTACAAACCCTCGAAAAGAAAAAGAGGTGAAGAGGAGGTAGGTAGCAATAAAAGAAGACCTTTGATAGATTACGAAATCAAACCGATTAAAAAAGAAATCGGTGATGATGGTTTTGATGACTATAGAAAGAAGGAAAAGAAAAGACAATATTTAGAAAGGAAGAAGTCTATCAGGGAGCAAAAAATACCTTATACCCCACAATACCATAAAGAAATTACATATGTTCCACCACCACCACCACCACAAGGAACAAAAAGGTTACAGTATATTAATATTGAAGAAGGTAAAAAGAAAAGGATTGATGAGTTAGAGCAGAAAAAGGAAAACCTACGAAAAATAAGAGAGGATCAAAGGATAGAAAATATTAGGAAAGGGAAAAAGGAAAGGGAATTAAAAAGAAGTGGTATAAGAAAACTAAAAATCCCCCTAGACCAATCAGCAATGTTAAAGGCTAGACAAGAGGATGACATACGAAGGCGTCAAAAGTTAAAACGAAAGTGGCAAGGTCCCGACGAAAGCCCCTTCTTAACGTTAAAGAAAGTCAAACCCGTTACGAAAAAACAATCCGCAAGAGCAAGCAAAGAATGGATGCAGAGGCTTATAAAAGCCAAGCGCAAAGCAAGTAACAAATCATTTAAACCTTCGTTGTGGTAAAAATGGGTGATTATACTAAACTTTTGCAAGATTTGTACAATAATCCAGAGTCTCCAGCTGCCTTTTCAGGTGTTGACAGACTTTGGAAGGAGGCTAGAAAAGTACTAAAACATATACCTAAAAACGTTGTGCAAGATTATTTAGAGGGACACAGAACTTATACTTTAATGCGTCCGAGACGTGTTCATTTTAATAGAGCCTTGACAATACCCGCTGGGTTTATGACAGACGTCCAAGTAGATTTGGCAGATTTTCAAGCAATCGCAAGACATAACAAAGGGAATAAATATTTACTTTTGGGAATCGATGTTTTATCTAAGAGAATATTTGGAGTACCAGTAAAATCAAAAACGGCAGAGAATATGGTAACAGCGTTCACAGAGTTAATAAGACAAATGCCTATGAAGCCTCATAGAATTTTTTCAGATAAGGGAAAAGAATTTAAAAATTCTCAAATGAACGAATTTTTTCAAAAAGAGGAAATTCACAAGATAGAACCAACTCACTCCACAGTAAAAGCTGCACTAGCTGAAAGGGCTATTAGACATATTAAACAACGTATTTACCGTTATTTTGCTCAAAACAAGACCTTAGACTGGATTCAAGTCCTCCCTGGAATTTTAGAAGGAATAAATAAAGCAAAAAGTAGAGTACATGGAATGAGGCCTATTGATGTTAATTTTGACAATGCTCAAGAGGTATGGAAAAAGATTTATGGAGATGTGTTTTCAGATAAAAAGACAAACCCAAAACTTAAGAAAGGAGATTATGTGCGTATGAGTCTAGGAAAGGGAGTGTTCGAGAAGGGTTATATTCCAAACTGGGGTGATGAGATACTTCAAGTAGAAAATGTTAAGAGACATGTTCATCCAATTCGTTACAAAGTCCAAGATGATAAAGGTGAAAAGTTCAAAGGATCATTTTACGGAGAGGAATTAGCTCGCGTTCGTAAGGATGCTGATACTGAATATAGAATAGAAAAGGTTGTAAGAAAGAAAAAGAGACCAGATGGCACATTCGATTTATTAGTAAAATTTATAGGTTACCCTGAAAGAGAATGGATCCATGAGACCCAACTAGTATAAAAGCTCATTTAATTGTTAATATTTCATTTTTGATAAAATGTCAAATACTTTCTTTGTTTTTCTTCCTAGTAATGTTTCCGATTATCCGGATAATAGACCAAATAAATTTCGCGTCCATTTACCAAGACCTCTATATTTTTCTGGAGACTGGGTTTGTGGTTTGCATAGTATAAGTTATCCCTATTCATGGCCTTCAACTATTGGCACTCTTGACGAGCAATGGATTGACATTCATTTTACTAAAAATGATGGGAGGGCTAGTATTATTCGTGTACCAGTTCCTAAAGGTTCACACACCACTGTAGAAGATCTACATCAATTCTTATTATCTACTTTACAACACCAAGTAGGAGCTATAGAAGGATCATCCTTGGAAAAACCTGAGACACTAGTAAAACCTCCAAGTGTTCGCAGACCAAAACGTAGTGTATCCCCTGAAGGAGAACTTAGAACACCATCTCCTTCATCATCAGCCGAAGAAGAACCCTCTAATAAAAGACTTTCTGTTGAAAGAGATAGAACACCTTCCCCTTCATCTTCTGCAGAGAGGGAACTAAAGTCTCCGCCTCGTACTTCATCCCCTAAACTTACCAAAATAACCCCGACCCCTCAACCTTCAAAACCTACACCACAGCCTCCAAAGCCCTCATTAGAACCCTCAAAACCTATTCCAGAAACTCCAAAACCCCCACCTGAACCTCCAAAACCTGAAACACAACCACAACCTCCAAAACCCCCACCTGAACCTCCAAAACCTGAAACACAACCACAACCTCCAAAACCCACTCCTCAACCTCCAAAGCCTACAACACCTCAACCACCAGAACCAACTCCTCAAACACCAAAACCCACTCCACAACCTCCAAAGCCTACAACACCTCAACCTCCGAAACCCACTCCTCAACCACCAAAACCCTCTCCTCAAACACCAAAACCCACTCCACAACCTCCAAAGCCTACAACACCTCAACCTCCGAAACCCACTCCTCAACCACCAAAACCCTCTCCTCAACCACCAAAACCCACTCCACAACCTCCAAAGCCGACAACACCTCAACCTCCAAAACCCTCCCCTCAACCACCACAGCCAACTCCTCAAACACCAAAACCCTCTCCTCAACCACCTAAACCCACTCCTCAACCACCACAGCCAACTCCTCAAACACCAAAACCCACTCCTCAACCACCAAAACCCACTCCTCAACCACCACAGCCAACTCCCCAAACACCAAAACCCACTCCACAACCTTCAAAGCATACAACACCTCAGCCTCCGAAACCCTCTCCTCAACCACCAAAACCCTCTCCTCAACCACCAAAACCCACTCCACAACAACCAAAACCCACTCCACAACCACCACAGCCAACTCCTCAACCACCAAAACCCACTCCTCAACCACCAAAACCCTCTCCTCAACCACCAAAACCCACTCCTCAACCTCCTAAACCAACTCCGCAAACACCAAAACCCACTCCTAACATTCCTCAACCTCCCAGACAACCTTTGCCCACTTCTCTTTCTCTAACACAAGATAACGAGGAAGAATTAAGAACTCCATCTCCCTCATCTTCAGCTGAAAGACAATCCTTACCCAGTTCACCTACACTCCCACAACTCCCTAAACCTGAAGCAACATTTAATGACCCATTATGGACTGAAGAATATGAAAGAGTACTTACACATGTACTGGCTAATCTCGGACAGAAAGTAACCCCTCAAGCAAGGATAAATTATTTACCAAATATGCCCATCCTTGTAAGAAAATATGGCAAAGT